GGCGTCGTCCGCGGCGCGCGCCTCCGCGGCCTCGGCCGCCTTCGTCGCGGCCTCGGCGCGCCGCCACGCGGACGCGGCGCGCGCGCGCTGGCGCGCGCGGTGCGCCTCGACCTCGCCGGCGTAGTCGACGCGCTCGGCGTCGCCCCAAAAGGCCGCGCGCGCGGCCGCGTAGCCCTCGCCGTCCTCCGCGCGCGACGCGACGCGCGCCGTGCCGCCGTCGGCATCCCGCGACGCGACGCGTGCCGTGCCGCCGTCGGCGTCCCGCGACGCGACGCGCGCCGCGGCCCCGCCGGCGTCCCGCGACGCGACGCGCGCCGCGGCCCCGCCGGCCTCCGCCGCGGCGACGCGCCCGGGCCGCCGCCGTGGGCCGTCGGCCCGCGGCGCCGCGGCCGGCGCGGCCGCCTCGTCGTCCCGGCGGGGCCGCCGCGCGGCCGGCGCGGCCGCCTCGTCGTCGTCCCGGCGGGGCCGCCGCGCGGCCGCCTCGTTTCCCGCGCGGCGCGGTTCCCGGCGCGCGTCGCCGTCCGGCCGGTCCATTCGGCGCCGCGCCTCGCGCGGTGTCCCGGCCGCGCGCGCGCGCGCGGGCGCCTCGCCCGGCGCCTCCAGGTGCGCGTGCGACGGCTGGAAGGGCCCGTCGAGCGCCGCGGCGTTCGCGCGCCGCCACTCGAAGAAGCGCGACTCCTTCTCCGGCGAAATCTTCGCCGCGGAGCCCCGCCGGACCATGCGCGACGACAGCCGCCGGCCGCCGAGCATCATGGGCATGGCGATGCCGAGGGACCGCGACGGCCGGCTCGTGAAGGTCCGCGACGGCCGGCGCATGCGCCGAGGGGGTTCGCGCTCAAACGCTGGAGCTGCCAGCCCCCATGCTCCGCGGAAGAAGTTACAAAAGGGCAGCTTCAGCGTCAATCACGGAGGCTTCACGACGTTCGAATTAGGCGCGGGCGCGCGGTGTGTTGGTCACCTCGCCCGCGGCTCGACGGCGGCGGCGATGGCGTCGTAGATGACGTCGACGGCGAGGAAGATGATGCCCTGGCCCGGGACGACGCGTGCGGCCCGCGCGGCCGCGCCGCTGAAGAAGGCCCGGGGCCCCTCGTTCGCCGCGATCTGCCGGAAGCAGTCCGCCGTCGAGGCGTAGGCCTTCGCGCCCGTGGACTGCATCCGCGTCTTGACGACGTCGAAGGGCGACGTGCAGACCACGGAGAAGAGGCCGGCGCCGAGCCCGCCGGCGAAGGTGACGTGGCGCGGCAATTTCGCCTCGGCGTCGCCGGCCATGAAGAGGCGCCACTGGGCCATGTAGAAGAAGCGCGACCCCTGGTTGCCGCCCTGCTTCAGGCACGTCGAGAACCAGCCCGCGTAGAGCCCCGCGGGGCCCTCGGTCCGCAGGAGGTGCGGCACGCCGTCGGCGAGGCCCATGTTCAGGTTGATGAGCTTCGTCTTCAGCGTCTCCTGGGGCGTCACGGCGAGCGTCGCCTCGCAGACGCCCGCGCCGAGGCCCGCGAGGAACGACGCGCCCATGGACACCTTGCCGGTGTCCGGGTCCGCGAGCGCGTTGCGGAAGTGCGTGTTCGCGCCGAAGCGGACGCCCGCCTTGGGCGCGCTGAACGCGAGCACGGGCGCGAGGCCGTTGTAGAGGCTGAGCGCGCCCGTCGTGCGCACGGTGTAGGCGAGGCCGGAGCCGATGCCCGTGAAGGGCGGCGCCGGGCCGCCCTTGACGGTCCGGAAGGACTGGAGCTGCGTCTTGATGTACTCCATGGGCCACGTGCAGCAGCACTCGACGGCGCCGGCGACGCAGCCGGCGGCGAGGGAGATCGACGTCGTCTTCTTTTTGGGCGCGGCCATTGCGCAAAATCGCAGAAGTGGGTGGTTCAACATGGGGGGGTTGCTTTGGCAAGGTCGGCGCCGTCGCGCGACGGCGGCGTCTAAAGTCACTCTTTTTTGCATGCGCCGGGAGAGGTCCGGTGGCTACGCTCGCGTGAAGCAAGCTCTTTCTAACTCGACGATCTCGGCACAATATCCTCGAAAAAGGACCGCCTACGTACGAATACGCGCGTATACGCGCCAGCCATGCGCTGCGTATAGGTGCAGAACGGTCGCTTTTTGTGGTCGGGGCGACGCCCCATGACCCCTGGCGTCGCCCTGGACGGTTGGTGAGTGCCGGAGACGCCGTTTCGGTGTCGGTCCAAAATCCACCCTACGGGCCTCGCTCGTCCACCGCGCTCCTACGGACAAATCCGGCACAGCCGATCTCGCCACCATCGATGGTGTTGGACGTGCCCCTTGGTTTCCGAGTCGACGGTACTATGAAGGTTCGATCGCGCTCAAGATCGTGACTTTCGAGTACCGCGTCGCTGCGCTGGAGGGGTCGGCCGGGGCGCCACTACGGAGCAAACCCCCCCCTGTTCAACCAAGATTTCAAGCACTCTTCAACATCGGTAACTTTGAAGAAACGCCTGCGACCGGGGCGTCGCCCGCCACTTTCGCCCGTCGACAAGGCAGGCGCGTTAGCGTCGTCGGGCGGCGGCGCGCGCGGGCGTCGCTAGATGTTGCCGAGGCCGAGCGCGCGGTGGATGTTCTCCATGGTGATGAAGGTGATGATGGTGTGGGGCCCCGTCCTCGCGTAGCCCGCGGACCAGCCCCGCCAGAACCCCTTGGGCCCGTGGGCCGCGAGGATCGTCGCGACGGACCGCGCGACGGACGTCTGGTTCGCCATCGTGTGCGTCTTGATGACGTCGAAGGGCGACGACATGGCCGTCGTGACGAGGCCCGCGACGGAGGCGACGGAGGCGTGGAGCGCGAGGCCGTCCTGGAGGCCCGCCTCGCGCTTGAGGGAGCTCTTGACGATGTCGTACGTCGCGATCTGGGACGCCGTGTGGACGGCGCCGCGGAGCACGTGGGGCCCGACGCCCGAGAAGCCGTGCGTGAGCACGTCGCCGAAGGCGAAGGCGTGGGCCCGGTAGTAGCCGCTCTGGCTCCGCACCTTGATCATCTCCACGGGGTTCGCGAGGAACCTGGGCAGGAAAAGGGTGCGAAATTCCCAACTTTGGAGGCTCCTATCTCGGTCGTTTTCCGCTCGTTTCGGCTGATTTTTGGACGAGCGATCATCTCTCGGAGCGCTCTCGACGCGTGGGTGCTGTTTCCGAAACGCGCGCGCGCGGAACACTCACGTTGAAGCGACGTTGAATCACCCTTTTCCTGCCCCGCGAGGAACGCGGCCGCCGCGCCGGACGTCAGGCCGCTGAGTACTTTCACGGCCGGCGACCCCAACGTGCCCTCGACCTTGGACAGCTCCTGCTTGATGGGCCGGTAGGCGGCGAGGCGGAAGGCGCTGTAGGTGATGGCGCGCACGAGCGCGGGCATGGACCCGTCCATGTACGACGCGAGGCCGTGCGCGGTCACGCGGTCGCGGACGGCCTCGCCTATTCCCTTCTTCGAGAGCTGGAGGTCGACCTTCATGACGTCGATGGGGTTCGTCGCCGCCGTGGCGACGCAGGACGCCGCGCCGCCGCTCACGAAGCCCAGGAAGAGCTCGTAGGACCCGCCGGCGGCGGCCATGGGCGGCGGCGGCGTGCGAGCGGCGTGGCGGCTGCGTGTCTCGTTGCGCTGCGGCGGTGCGGACGATGCGACGCGCTCGTGCGCCGGCGGAGCGACGCTGCGGCAATGCGAGATGATGCGGGCGACGCGTGCCGAGGGACGCGGATGCGCGTACTACGATCGAAACACAGGTCGAAAGGGCTCTTTCTATCGTCATGGGCACCTCCGGCTCGTTGACCTCGAGTGCTGCCCCGGGCACTGCTGCCAAACCGTCTCGTTGCCCCGCCCCGTCGCCGCGCGGCGTCGGGCTGCGGTCGGCGCAGCGCCGCGCCGCGGCTCCCGACCAGCCGCCGCCGGTCGGAACCATGGGCGACGAGGAGAAGGTCGACCAGCGCCAGTTCAAGGTCATCCTCTTGGGGGACGGCGCCGTGGGCAAGACGTCCATCGCGACGCGCTTTTCTTCCGACGAGTTCACGCAGTCCTACAAGCAGACCATCGGCCTCGACTTCTTCATCAAGCACCTCATCCTCCCCGGTGCGGCCTCTCCCGAAACCGCTTCTTTTCTCCGGGAAGTTTCTCCGCAGGCGACGTCCACGTCGCGATGCAGATGTGGGACATCGGCGGCCAGTCCATCTCGTCGAAGATGCTCCACAACTACATCTTCGGCGCCCACGCGATCCTGCTCTGCTACGACATCACCAACTACGAGTCCTTCGCGAACCTCGAGGACTGGCGCGCGGCCGCGCCCGGGACACGGCGGCGGCCGCGCGCGGCCGCGACCGACCGCGCGCGCGTCGGCACGCGGCGGCCGAGCGACCGCTCGCGCGCGCGCCGCCCAGGTACCGCTGCGTCCGCAAGACGTTCCGCGATTCGAGCCTGCCCTTTGTGGGCTTGATAGCGAACAACGGGGCAGGAGAAGAGAGCGACATTCCCAAAGGTTCCGATCTCGGCCGATTTCCACTCGTTTCGGCTGATTTTTGGACGAGCGATCATCTCTCGGAACGGTCTCGAAGCATGGCTGCTTTTTCCGGAACGCGCGCGCGCGGAACACTCACGTTGAAGCGACGTTGAATCTCTCTTGTCCCGCCCAGGCGAACAAGTGCGACCTGAGCCACATGCGCGCGGTCAAGTCCGAGGTCCACAACCGCTTCGCCGACGAGAACGTGCTCTACAGCTTCATGATGTCCGCCAAGTCCGGCGACCAGGTCCGGCCCGGGGTCCTTCGCGGGGGGGGGGGTCGTTCGAGCGCCGCGCGTCGAGCGCGTCGAGGCCGCGCGCCGCGACGACCGCCCCGCGCGCGCCGCGAGCGGCGCGCGCGCCGCCGACGCCGATGTCGCGCCCAGGTCAAGTCGTGCTTCCTCCGCGTCGCCGCCGTGCTCTCGAACACGAGCTTCTCGCGCCCGGAGATCGAGGTCGAGTCGCAGACCGTCGTCAAGGCGACGATCGTCGAGCACGCGCAGCACGACCCCAACGTCCACAGCGGCAGCGTGCCCGCCTACACGAAGAGCAAGAGCTCCTGCGCGGTCTCCTAGGCGCGCTAAGGGGGTCCCCGCGGAGCCGACTGACGGCGCGCTTAGGCCGCACCGCGCGCGCGCGGCCGACGCCCCAAACTCACGTGAGGAGGTAGCCGGAGAGGAAGAGGGCGAAGAAGGCCCCGAGCGCGCCGAAGATGAGGCCGTTCTTGTCGCCCTCGGTCATGGTGTTGCCGCCGAAGCCGTAGCCCTGGTTCTCGGCGAAGCCCGCGATCGTCACGGTCACGGGTTGGAACTTGTCCTTGGAGCACTTGCACGTGGGACACCGGAAGCCGCTGGCGAGGTCCTCGAAGTCCGTGCCCGGCGCCGCGCCCGCGCAGCCCTTGGCCGGCTGGTACTGGAAGTCGCAGATGATGCACTGGTGAGAGCCGGTCTCCTGCTCCACGAACTTCTCGGCCTGCTTGAGGCGGCGGATCTCGCGCTGCCGCTCCGTGAGGCCGTCGTCCTCCTCCATGACCACCGCCACGCCCTCGGGGGCGCCGCCGGCGGCCTCGACGGCGTCGGCGGCGGCGGGGGCGGCCTCGTCGACCTCCGACGACCGCAGGACGCGCGGTCGTCGCGGCGCGGACGCGCCGCGGGCGACGGGCGACGGCGCGCGGAGCTGGAGCGCGACGGCGGCGTGCGCGCAGAGCGCGAAGGCGACGAGGGCGCGCACCATCGTGACGAAGTGAGCGGGCAGAGCGCAAGCTCAGTGCGCAAGCCAGTCAGCAAAGCTCGATTGTGCCGTCGCCATCGTCGACCTTGCAGTGGCAAAGCCTTGCGCCTCCGCGTCGCCGCCGCGCCGCACCGCACCGCTGTCTGCGCGACCGCCGGCCTCCCACGAGCATCGCGCGACCCGCCGCGCGCCGCGGCCAGCGATGGCGCGGCACGACTCGTCGTCCGACGACAGCGACTCGGAGGGATCGTCCGGCGACGGCCGCAAGCGGCCGCGCGCCGGCTCCGAGGACGACCCGGCGCCGAGCTCGCGCGGCGAGCGCAAGAAGCAGAAAAAGGAGAAGAAGCGATTGAAGAAAGAGAAGAAGCGCGAGCGCAAGGCGGCGAAGAAGGCGCGGAAGCGCGACCGCGGCGACGGGCCCGACGCCGCCGACGCCGCCGAATCCGCCGCGCGCGACGCGATGCCGCCGCCGCCGCCGGTGTCCATGCCGCCGCCGCCGCCGGTGTCCATGCCGCCGCCGGCGCCGGTGTCCATGCCGCCGCCGCCGCCGGTGTCCATGCCGCCGCCGGCGCCGGTGTCCATGCCGCCGCCCGTCGCCGCGCCGCCCGTCGCGCCCGCGGAGCCGCCGCGAAAGAAGAAGAAGAGCCGCGCGGACTTCTTCGCCGACCTGCAGGAATCCGAGGCGGCCAAGCCCGACATCGGCACCTTCCATGCCACGGGCAAGTTCAAGGACGCCGACGGCAACGACATCGACGAGGACCGCTCCGGCGACTGGGCCTGCCAGAAGTGCAACTACACGAACTTCAAGGAGTGCATGACCTGCGCGCGGTGCCGGTCGCTCCGCCGCTTCGAGGGCCGGAACCAGGCGTCGGGCTACTGCCAATAACAGCGCGCGCGCACCCGGGGGGTTCTCGGCGCCTCGGCGGTCCCGCCGGACGGCGGGGCTTCGCTGTCGAAGCGGCGGCGTCGCTCCGCGGCGCGCCGGGGCGCGGCCTCGGCGCGCGGCGGCGGCCGCCGCGGCCCTAGGCCGCGGCGACCTCGGGATCGCGGGCGGGCGTCTCCTCCGGCGCGGCGGGCGCCTCGTCCGGCGGCGCGTCCTTGGGCGCCTCCGCGTGCCAGGCGCCGACGCGCCAGTGCGCGGGCGCGGGCTTGTCGTCGAGCTCCTTGAGGAGGCCGTGGAGCTTCGCGGCGGCCGGCGTGGGCGGGATCTTCCCGGAGAGGAGGTCCTTGCAGGACGCGGGCCGCATGTAGTGGCGCTCGTTGACGGCGCTGCGCTCGTTGAGCGATGCGCCCTCGAGGGAGACGCCCGCGTAGATGCCCTTGGTGCAGGCGTAGGTCCACGCGGGCGCGACGCCCTCCGCGCCGAGCTCGAGCCGGCTCTCCGAGCCCGCGCCGTAGGGACCCGCGGAGACGCCCAGGGACGCGCCGAGCGTCACGCCGACGCCCGCCGTGAAGGCGAGCACGGCGCTCGGCCGGTTGAGGATGATGAGGAAGTCCATGACCTGCGCGCCGAGCTGCCAGCCGAAGCCGAAGCCGAGGACGCCGATGGCCGACGGCGCGGACCAGCCGCCGTCGGGGAGGCGCGCGAGCACGCAGCCCGTGCCGAACCGCGAGCTCGTCGTGCCGATGGCCGTCTCGAAGCAGCGGACGAAGGCGACGCCGTGCGCGCCGCGGAGCACGCCCGGCGGCGGGCCCGACGCGGGCGAGTCCAGCGCGGCCTGCAGGATGCGCTCGGCCTTGACGCACTCCTCGTCGAGGCGGAACTTGACGACGCCCAGGCCCGGGTCGTCGTAGTCGCGGCCCTCGCGGCGCGACACGGAGATCTTCAGCGGCCGCTCCGTCCGACCCGCGACCGCGGCCTCGGCCTCACCCGGGAGCACCTCCTCGTCGTTGAGCGCCGCGACGAGGTCGCCGAGCTTGATGCCGTGCGCCTCCGCCGGGGAGCCGGCGTCGACGACGGTGACGCGGCCGGCGCCGTTGAGCGAGAGGCCCAGGGCGCCGGGCTCGTGGATCTCGAAGTCCGTCTTCACCTCCTCGCCCGTCTCGAGGCCCGCGAGGCCCCGGAAGATGTCGACGGCGCCGTTGCTCATGGAGGTGACGTACTCCATGGCACCTCGACGTCGGCGACCGCGGCGCGCTCGACCGGCTCTCCGAGGCGAAGGCGTGCACGGCGCGACCCGACCGGCCGCGACCCGACTGGCTGCGGGCAGCCCGAGCCGGAGCGCCGAAAGAGTGCACTGAAGGCTCGAAGGCAAACCTGAAACGGCCGGAGCTTCTGGATACATCTGACGCCGTACATACACGGCCTTGAAAGAAGCTGCCCCAAAACGCGGGACAAAAGGCTACTTCGGCTGCCCCCGGCTCTCCGCGCGCCCCCCCGATGAATTCGCCGCCCCTTGACGACGCCCCGCTGGGCCCCCTGTCGGCGCGGTGCTGCCAGCGCTTCGTGTCCCACCTCAAGGCCGCCGAGGTCTACACCGTGGTCGGCGCGCTCCTCGTCGCGCACCGCGTCGGCGCCGCCGGCGGCGCCGCGGCCCTCGGGCCCGTCGAGGACCTCGCGGGCGGCGCCGCCGTCGGCGCCGCCGACGCCGAGGCGCTCTGGCGCCTCGCCTGGGACGGCGCGCCCGGCGTCGCGCGCGGCGGCGCGGCCGCGGCGCTCGCGCGCGCGTGCGCGACGACCACCGGCCTCTTCGGCCGCGTGCGGTCCTACCTCTTCAACTACCGGCGCCGCTTCGGCCTCTACTTCGACTTCGTCGCGACCTTCGCGCCGCGCGACGAGACCGTCGAGGTGCTGGTCGCGACGACCGTGTGCCCGCTCGTGAAAGTTGCCGTCCACGCGGCCGACCCCGCGGCGGTGCTCGTCGTCGCCGTGCGCCGGGCCCTGGGCGCGGCGCTCCTCGCGCACAACTACCCGGAGCTCGTCGAGCTCCGCCGCGTCGACGCCGCGAGCCGCCACGGCCTCGAGGCGACGTCCGGCACGAAAGCCGCGCTCGATGTGTCCGCGGAGCCCCTCGTCGACTACGGCGGCACCGCGGCGCGCCTCTTCCCGCCGGGACAGACCCACGTCGTCGTCGCCGTGCTCCACGACACCTTCGTCCTGCCCGCGGGCTTCGACTTCGACGAGCGCGCCGAGCCGGCGCCGCGGACCGTACCGGCGATCGGCGCGGGCTCCGTCGACAGCCGCAACGACGCCGAGGTCGCGAACCTCGTGCCGCCGTCGCCGGCGTCGGCCTACGCCGGCGCCGTCTGCGACGAGGGCGACGACAGCGACGACGACATGCTCGACTCCATCTGCGACGCGGTCCTCCTCACGGACGACGAGGACTCGATCTCGTCGCTGTCCTGCGACGAGTAGGCGCGGCCGGCCGCGGCGCCTTGCCGGCCCTTCCCCCGCCGCGCGCGTCGCTCTTTTTTAGCGTGCTTTTCCCCTAGACGTCCTCCTCCTCGTCGTCGTCGTCGATCTCGATGATCTCCCGCTCCTGGGTCCGGGGGTCGTTGTCGCCGGGGAGCGCCGGGTCGTCGTCGAGGGCGCCGGCCGCGTCCTCCTCCTCGCCGTCCTCCTCCTCGCCGTCGTCGGAGATCTCCTCGTCGTCGTCGTCGCCGCCGCCCGCGCCGCCGTCGTCGTCGTCGTCGTCGTCGCCGCCCGCGCCGCCGTCGTCGTCGTCGTCGTCGGCCGCGGCGGCCTCGTCCGCGGCCTCGGCCGCGGCGGCCGGCGCCGCGCCGCCCCGCGCGCCGGGGTCCGACTCCGCGGCCGCCGGCGCCGCGGCGGCGCCGTCGTCCTCGTCCAGGGCGTCGTCGTCGCCGCCGG